CATTTTACATAATTTTATTTAAACTTGTTTTAACTTCCTCACCACTGGCCTGAAAAGTCTGATCTGTGGATGGTAGACAGATGATTGAGTTTTTCTTTTTTTAAATGCCCCTTTTTTCCTCTTCTGCCTCGCATATATACGGAGCTCATTGAGGCATTTGTTTTTTCATTAAGGCAAATGGAATTGGAGCCGTAAAGTGCTGGGCTTAGCATGGAGAAAGTGGGCAAAGAGATCCTTGTCTCATCTTCTTTTGAATTCTTGAATTCAGGATAAAATTTTCAGTTCAGTGGCTGAAAATCCTCTTTTATGTAAAGTGGACAGTTCACTAAAAAAACTCATTGCTGTGAGACGTTGCCCTGTACTTTAGCATGGAACAGTATGGCCAGACTTACTAGCTGTATTAGTGTGCCACTGAATTTTAATTGCTGGAGAACATGGAAAAGACAATGCTATTGTATTCATGTCCTGTGTTTAGCCTTCTCCAGGGCACCTAGCTGACATCTTTAAAAAAACAGCACACTGTCCTAGATCCAGCAACAGCGGGTCTTTGGTTTTTCTGCTGTAGAATATCCAATTAAAGATCAGATTTATTAACCTTCTAGTCCTTTCCTTTAGAGTATTAGTTTTCCTCATGGCAGATGCTCTCCAACTGGTATTCCGTATAATGGCTGAGTACATGCCACAGGCTTAATCCGGCTGCTGATTTAACCCCTCTTCTACACTTTCCCAATGCGTTGAACCAGAATGGGCTAAGCTACAAAAAACAAACTAAGGTTACAACTAATCACACTTGGCTTGTTGTGCGAATGTAGCTGGTGGGTTCCCTCATCACCATCTCGGAAGGAAAATGTTTAGACTTCACAGGTATATTTCCTTCTTTGCTCTGCAAAAGAATGAGATTGCATATGATCCTAGAAACCAGGAGACGGTGAGTTCTAGCCCTCCCTTAGGCGTGAAGCTGGCTGGATGACTCTGGGCCAGTCCCCCTCTCTCAGCCCAACCCACCTCCCAAGGTTGTTGTGGGGAAAATAGGCAGGAGTATTAGGTGTGTTCGCTGCCTTGAGTTGATCAAAATACATATAAAAAAGGCAGGATAAAAATATAATAATAATAGTTACTATGTTTCTTATCTAGCCCTTCCTTCACTTGGGTCTCAACCCAAGACAAAAACATATACACGCTTAGACTGTTGCCTGATCTCTGTGTTGCCCTGCTAAATGCTTGCTTTTCCGTCCCCCATAGTCAGCTACCCAGGTGGCAGGATGACTTAGCGTGTGTATGTGTGGTGGGGTTTGGCTGTGAAAATGAGGCAGGTAGGGAAGGCAGTTAATCAGCAGAAGTTAGATCATTGTATGGCTCTCCCTTAAATTGACCTTTAAAAGGTTAATCTACTTAGCCTTAAAATAAGAGAGGATTTCATCCATAGTAGCTCTTTTCCTTTGCTTTTTAATATGGGTTTCCTTGCCTGAGTGGCTGTTCCTCATCATTACAGGCTGCGCAGTCCAAACTTCAAGTTCTGACTTTTGCAAATTTGGGCCCATTTTTTTAACGTGGACATTTTGTTAAAAAAATCCAACGGAACAAAAACTCTTGTCTTATTTATTTCTTTATTGATCATTAAATTTACATGCCGCCCATCTCTCCCAGAGGGTGACTCTGGGCAGCTTACAATTAGAAACCAAGACAATAAAAACAATAAAAACATAAATATCCCCCAATTAAAATCACACATAACACTTGTCTTCATATTCAGACATTTCTTAGAGGGCTGTTAAGGCATTTTAAAAAATGCTATTTATTAAGTCTTGGAGGTGTTGTACTCCAGAGTTACCCTGCAAGCTGGCATTCCCTGGAATCGGGGGGGGGGGGGGTGTTTTCGCAAAATTTATTAGCGCCCTGGTGGCTTATCCTGGTGTTA